GAATACCAACATCTATCATCTCGGATAGGGGACAGTAGGTTCACGTCCCAATTTTGGCAATCACTCCATAAGGCGATGGGAACAAACCTCGATATGAGCACCGCTTATCATCCACAAACGGATGGTCAAAGCGAGCGAACCATCCAAATGCTCGAAGATATGCTCCGTTCATGCGTGATAGACTTTGGAAAGTCTTGGTATACCCACCTACCCTTAATCGAGTTCTCATACAACAATAGTTACCATTCGAGCATCAAGGTGGCTCCTTTCGAAGCACTGTACGGCCGTAAATGTAGATCACCGTTATGTTGGGCTGAAGTAGGTGACACCCAGCTAGCAAAAACACACACGTCGGACAAAGCACTAACGGGACCGGAGATCATCCGTGAAACCACGGAAAAGATCGTTCAAATCAGAACTCGATTGCAAGCATCGCGTGACCGACAAAAGAGCTACGCTGATAAACGCCGAAAGCCCTTAGAATTTCAGGTTGGTGATCGAGTACTGTTAAAAGTCTCTCCCTGGAAAGGAGTCATTCGTTTTGGGAAGCGGGGAAAACTAAATCCACGATACATTGGACCTTTCGAAATCGTCGCCCGAATTGGTCCAGTAGCATACAGATTGCAACTACCCGCAGAGCTAAACGGTGTACACCCCGTGTTTCATGTCTCTAACCAAAAGAAGTGCCTATCAGACGAAACCCTTGTCATTCCTCTTGATGAAATCGAAATCAATGAGAATCTCCTGTTCGTCGAAGAACCAATCGAAATCATGGACAGGGAGGTAAAGCGTACTAAACAGAGCCGCATCCCGATCGTGAAGGTACGGTGGAACGCAAAGCGTGGGCCAGAATTCACTTGGGAACGCGAAGATCAAATGAAGCAAAAGTACCCTCACCTATTCTAGCATTCTCAAATCTAGCTTCAAACAGAATTTCGGGACGAAATTCCCTCTAACGGGGGGATGATGTCACAAGTAGAAATTTTGTGCCTTGTAACTACAACACTTAAGTCGGATTATGAATCCAAAAACATAAGGACATGTATGATGCTTACTCTGTGACAACAAAATTGCAATCAAATACACCATACAAGCATTACAAATAGTCAACAAGCAATTGGAAACCCTAGAAGTTCTTATTTAGGTCCATTTTGGACTAGAACTTCCTTATTGGGCCTAATGGACCAATAAACTTCCAATTTGACTATCTTGGGTTTAGAACTCTTAAATGGGCTCTAATTGGACCCACTTTCATTTATTTCAACATATTGGGCCATATTGGGCCTAGAATGAAATAAATCAAATATTATGAACTATTTTGGACCATAATTAACCTAATTTAGCCTTAATAGCTCATAAAAATCACATTTATAATTAATTGGGGCCAAACATCACTTAACATAACCATGAAATGGGCTTAAGCATACAAGGCCCAATACTCATCTTTTTCTCTCCAAATCTCGGCCCAAGCCCAACCAAAGAAAGAGAGTTGACTTTCCTATGCCACCTCATAATTATCCATAGGACTCCCATGCACCATCTCATGTTTTCATGCAAATCAATTCAAGAACCACACTCCTCTCCTCTCTCTTCTTACTCTCGGCCGAACACAACACAGACACACTCACAAAAATTCATTTCATTCTCTCTAAGTCTTGAAGGACATCTCCTTCCTCCTTCTTCAAAAATTTCGAGAATCAAGAGCTTTTCAAGGAGGTTTTTCCCACAAACACATCATCTAAGGTAAGTTGATGACTAATCCATGATCTAGCTACTTCATTTCATCAAAAATCTCTCCTAAATCTATTCCAACTTGTGATCATGCACCTTAGAAGTCACTAAACTCGAGATCTACCAAGGAGACTTGCTAGGATCGAAATTTTCTTCTTTTCTCTCTTCAAAACCGAAACTACAACTCAAGGTGAGCTTCATACCCCCTTATTTTCGGTTTTTATAAGTTTTTGTGGGGAGAATACAAGTAAAGGTGTAGATCCATCATTATGTGTATGTTTTGGTTGATTTCTATGCTTATATGTATGTTTTGTATGATTTTGATGCTAGATCTAGTTATGAATTGCTAAAAACCGAGATATATCTTATACTAGCATGAAATATACTACTACATACAAAGTATACCAAGAAAAATAGCTAAGTGGCTTAACAATACATACTTTGGGCTAAAAACTCATTTTTTTGACATAAATGTTAAAAATACAAAGTTAAAGGGCCCAAAATGAAATATTTCGAAATCTGATGGGTGAGATGAGTCAAAACAGATTCCATAATGTATTTTCTGAAAATATACTCTTTTGGAAGATCAAAAACATAAATTTCAAGCTTAATGGGCTAAAAATGACAATTTCGGCCCAATAGGGCCCATTATGCGAAATTTTCTGTTTTGGAGGGCCAAAACTGTGTTTTCCTGTAAAACAGTGGACTATTAGTGTTACATGTACTTTTCAAAGGTTTAAAACGCTTTTCAAATTTAAAAAGGACCAAAGTTGCAAAAATTTTCCAAATTGGGCCAAAAATGTAAAAATTGCAAAAAAGAGGGGTTATAACCGAGAAAACTGCAATTTCAGGGACTTAAACTGTTTTAAATGAAAAATATGCTGAAAAATATTAATTTCAATAATTTTTGGTGTTAAAATGTCAAGAAAAATGGTTTAAGGACTAAACCGGAAATTATTTTACCTAAAGGGGTGAAAAAGTAAATTTACAAAATTAAGAGGGGTTGTAAACAGAAAATTTCAAGGGTAATTCAATACACTCGTTGTGAACAAAGATTGACACTACGACTCTCGATAAATTACAATACACAATATCACCAACAATCGTTATCAAACGAATTGATTCGGTCTCGAATCAATAACAAATCCAAAACTACTAACACTATAACGCTCAATACACATATGAAACTCTTGGAACTCTTTACTCTCGTGGAATTACTCAATACAACGACGTACACTCCTTAGGCCCAAAAGTTGCAAATCTTTAGGCCCAAATGACACTTGCTTACATGTAGTTGGGTCTAATGCGACTCGACCGCGTGTAAAAGGACTTTCAATTGCAAACATGCTGCTGGTCCCCAGGGGTCCTTCAGTGCTGCTAGTAAAGTCGGTAACTCACGATTGCGGGTTGGGCTTCGGGCCCTTCGCAATTGCAATGGTCTTGAACGACGCAGGGAAATACCGAGGGTTTCGCACCTTCACTTTTTCTCTCCGGTCGTGGGACTACACAAGTCCGGGAGGATTGAGTTGTGTGAATAAGTGCGAGTGACGCCTAAGGGATCACTAGCACGGTTGCCAATTGGACGTTTTCATTAACGTACGATACAACAATTCACCACCCTCTGTATACTCAATGCCTCCGGAGCTCAACGAATACCTCTAACGTAACGAAATAACAGTACCCAAAATAACTAAAGCAAAGTGATAGGAAAACGTCGGGTTTTCCTAGGGTTTTCAACAAGTACACTTACGAACTACATGTCGAATTTCACAACTCTTACGCTTACATCTATAGAATTCAAACAAGCATACTCACGGATCTTCACATATTTTTACGTTATTCTATTTTCAGAAAATATCGGATTTTCTGGTGATTTTTTTAAACATTACAAACATTGGATTTCAAACATTACTTATGAACTCACCAACATTTCATATGTTGACGTTTTTTCAAAATATTTGTATTCTCAGGTAACAGATAAAGTGAAGGATGAATTGTACTCTATGACGTTTTGCTGTGGTTTAATTTAGTATCGAACAGTTACTTTTGAGAATGTAATGTTTTGGAACAATGTAATGGATGTAAACGCTACCAGTTGTATCATTTCAAATGTTGGTGATGTATAATGTTATGTTTCATGTATATTCATTGTGATGGTATTCAATTGAGTCACGACAGCCCCCGGACGTTTCCGCCGTCTGGTTCGGGGGTGTGACATCTGCTACTGCTTCATTATGGCCAATAGCAAGTAGCCTTCCTATTCCTCCAGTATTCCTAGTTTTCGGACAGTTTCTTTTGAAATTCCCTACTTCTCCACAGCCATAGCAGGCCTGACTTACTCCCATGCTGGGGACCTGAGAAATGGGTTTGGGTTGAGACCTGCAAAACCGGACGGTATGGCCCTTCCGGTCGCAGTTAGTGTAGTGCAATTCACGACATGGGCCGTTATGATGAAAAGGGCACTTGGTGCACTTGGACAGGTTCCCTGCATATGTTTTGGTTGGTACAGGGGCAGTAGGAGTAGTGGCAGCATGGACAACCACGGTTTGTTGGTTCTAGGAAGAGGATTGAGTTGACTTGCCCTTCTTTCGGTCCCACCGCTTCCTCTTGTTGTCTGATGTCTTGGTTGGTGCAGTGGCAACTATTGTGGTTGTCAATAGAGTGGAAGGAGCTTCATAATCAATAAACCTTTGGGCTAATTTCTTGGCGCTGTCAAAGGTCGTAGGGCGCGATGCTAAAACGTTCCCTCGATACGGAGGTACTAAACCCCAGATGTATCGCTCAATCTTCTTGCCCTCAGTGGGGATCATGTTAGGACACATAGTTACCAGGTCGCAGAACCTGGCTGTATAATCCACCACGTCGGTCCCTTTCATCCTGAGGTTCCAGAGTTCCTCCTCGAGTTTCTGGATTTCTCCCCTAGAGCATTACTCCCTTGTCAGAAGGTCCTTTAGCGTGTCCCAGCCCATGGTGTTGGCTATTACCAAGGAGAGTGATTTGACATGGCCATTCCACCATGTCAAGGCCCTTTCGATGAAGGTGCAAGCAGCGAACTTAATCTTGCTTTCCTCAGGGCACGAGCACATCTCGAAGACGGCTTCAGTTCTTTCGATCCATTGGGACAGTGCAATGATCCCTCCGATTCCATTGAAGAATGTGGGTTTGTAGCTCATGAAATCCTTATAGGTACACCCCCGTGTACGAGAGTGGATTTCACCATGTCTAGAGTTGGTGCCCATTCTTGCTCCACTTGCATCGC